TCTATTAAAATTCCTGCTCCTGTAACGGAGGCACGCAAACTCTAAGATGCTATTTGCGAAACCTTATCTATGGTCACTAGTCCATCCATGATAAATTGTTAAGGAAACAATAACAACAGGTTCATAGGTTAGAGTCGAATTTGTCTTAAAAATGCGTCGGGTCCAACTTATTTCATACCCAGTATGAGAGACACTTTTAGAATGTACATTTGAATAAAAAAGATAACGTAACACCAAAATCTAGTGGGTCAAAATCATTAAAACACAAAATCCCAGACCCAATTAAACCCTGGGCCGGAATATCTTGAAATGGATACCTAGTTTAAAATTGAATGATGTTTCGATTTTTATGAACTCAACTGAAAGGATGCCTTGCCTAAGTCCTAATCCGTTGCTCTTTTTACATCATACATTATTCAAAGTCACTGATTTATTTTTATCTCTTGTGCATTGTAATCCTTGAAATCTAAATTTAATATGAAATATGTATATGAAATTAAATGAATGGATGAAATATATTCATGCAAATAATACATGACAAAGTTAATATTTGTTTTTGTTATTGTGGTAAACATCTTACGTGCCACTTAAAAAATGTATTTCAAAATTTCGGCACTCAGTTTTAGCAATACTCACTAGGGAAAATATATATAGGCACATATATCTATTTAACTTGGGAGCAAAATTATTCGTTGGGATTTCTCATGGTAATTACTCATTAGAATTGGCACAGTTATACCCAATCCCATTTGTGGGAAGATTGGACTCCAAATTTGAACCAGCTTCGACAAGGTCAAAGGTTATGATTTTTTGACCTAAAACCCCCAAGGTCAGCTACATTAAAGAAATTTTTTGCTTGGTGGTCACTAAATCGAAGTGTGTACATTTCCTTGATCCAGATTCGATTTATGTATTTGTGTAATAATATTATTCCTTCACAAATTTATGGGCAGAACAGTTCTGTTGATACTGGACAGATGATAAAATTTCAAGTTCTTGTGCACAATACCAAATATTTGAAAAACAGGACCGGCAAGCCAAAGCCATCAAGATCTCCCTGGTCAACTTCCCTAAAAATTTTGAAGCTGATTCCCGGCCGATGTCAGAGACCAGTTTTTGAATCGTGTCATCTATTATGCTAGGCAAAATTTCGGTTTCTACATCGGGCAGAATTTAAAAGAAAATTTAGAAGCCTAAAATGTTGCGACATACACACTGTAAAGCATCCAGTAGAGTCACACATGTACTCCGTATTGGTATTGATTTGGTAATAATTCCTTACCGGATTGGTTAAAGTTTGATTCTGAGTGGTATAGATTTCATTACCACCTCATTACTACGCCGTAACGATCGATATTACCGATGCCGGTAGAGTCATATATGTACTCCGTCCGGTAATGATTCGAAATGATTAAATACCAATTGCCTAAGAGTGCAGTCAATAGGAGAAATATTGGCAACCCCCTCGCAAGCTAAATAAAATTGGCTATAACTTTGGCACGCATTATCAAATTAACATTAAACTTTGTATGCACTCAGCAAATCTAAAACTTTTTTCATTCAAAGTTCAGTCATCCCGATTTCTCAATGAAGATTTTCATTCACATTCACAAGGGAACATACCGAGGTGTCCAACGAGTTAAGGTCGACACCTATACCAAAATGACCACAATCCATGACTTATTAAATAAACTGAAGGAATTTCCGTGTAAAATTCACTTTTCGTCACGTTGTGACGATATTTGTGACGAGCGCATGACCAGGTTGCCAGAAAGGGTGAGGTCGACCACAGAGAAGCGTCGTCGTCTTCACGTCGTCTTCAGAGATGTCGAATTCTTTCAAATTTTAAAACCGTTTCGAAATTTTGCAGAAATTTTGAAAGCATTTCGAAATTTTGAAGAAATTTTGAAAACATTTTGAAATTTCGAAAAAAATTTGAAATTTTGAATAAATTTTGAAATTTTGAATAAATTTTGAAATTTTGAATAGATTTTGAAATTTTGAAAAAAATAGAGGTGTGTAAGTTATTTGAAATTTGAAATCTCTGAAGACAACATGTGTTCGATCTGATCGTTCAGCGGCCGACCTATCCCGCTGGCAACCCAATGGTCATGCGCTCGTCCCAAATATCGTCACAACGTGACGAAAAGTGAATTTTACACAGAAATTCGTTCAGTTCGTTTAACAAGTCGTGTATTGTGGTCATTTTGGTATAGGTGTCGACCCTTAACTCGTTGGACACCTCGGTATGTTCCCTTGTCAGTCATTTTCGTTCAAATTCATTTCATTTCACTTCATCTGGCTTCATTGTTTATTTCGCCCCATGTATTAAGCATAGGCTGAAAAAATAAAGGAGCGAAGAATCCTTTCATTCACAGTCACTCATCTTTCACTCATTTTCATCATTCAAATCACAGGAAATTCATATTCATTCACCGTCATTCTCTATCATACTCAGTCACATGAATGAAAGTGACCAGGTATGATCCTGAACGACCCTTAAACGTAGGAGTCTATTACACACTCCTACGTCTACTATAGTTGTATGGACTGTCTATACAACTTTGAAGAAATGCCTGGAATTAACCGACTATGTTATCGCTCAGATTCCATCCATTAAATGTAGGATTAAATTATTCTTTTTAAAAATTCCGGAAACATATTTAGGTTTTCGATAAAATTTCACGAATGGTGATACATAGAAACTTGAACTTGAAATAAACTTGAGAAGCTTGAGAAACCTAATGGATAATAGATGATAATGGATGACAATTATAAATATTTAAAATTAAACATGACATTGATGAATTGTTGGGGAATTTATTACGACAGTTTATCACGAAAATCATGTTTGATTACGTGTTCTGACTCGTTTTTTAAAAGAATGTTTCACTTTTGTCTGCATAATGCTAAATTCATGGAAAAACAATAATAACCTCTTTCCATCAATGTCAAAGTGGATTAGCGTTAAACACACGTGTATAATTATGGGACATTTTTCGGTTAAATACCTATGTATTAAATACCTATGTATTCTTTCTCAAAGGCTTAATTTATCATGATAATGGAGCATATTGTGATAATAATAGCCTTTAATCCACTAAGCCTTTAATGAACGACCAATATTTCAGTGAAAAATTCGCCCAAATCCTAAACAAGTGTTTAAAACTATGTAATCCACCTGGACATTGATGTAGCGTTCTAATTAAATTCCAGTAAAATGACGTTGATGTAGCGTGCTTGTAAAAATTCACTAAAGACATGACCAGTGTTTCGTTAATACAGGTTTGTAATAAACAAACTGCATGAAATTACAACTTTTAATCATTGGCCGCGGAAACATGGGTACAGAGGTACAATGGTTACTCGATTCCCCCATCATCTGTCCATGTTATATAAACACCTAACCTCCCACCCCTATCCCACAATGTTAATGTCCCCAGATGTCCTCACGGGTTCCGCGGCCATTATTTTGAACCAAATTTGAGCCAAATTTTCCACCAGCTAGCGTCATATTAAATATAGAGGATGTAAGAAGATTTCTGCGGCTTGCTGTTTGCATAGCTTAAAATAACTGCATGAGAGTGGTTTCATGCAGAGCTTATCTACTTGCACCCGAAACACTAACTCGAGCCATATCATTACTAGCGTTATTATTATTAATTAAAAGCATTTAATGAATCATTATAAATATGATTAACTTGATGTCATGCATACTTAAATAAAAAGCGTGCGTCACCCGCCTAGTATTTATACCCCACCATGTGAGTAGATTGACACAGTAGCTGCACACATTTTGGTTAAATATTTGATTAATTCAACTTTGTGAAAAACTTAGACACAAAAGTATGGATCGAATAAAGTTCCCGTACTTTCACGTGTTCTTCTCACTTCTAATTTTAATTGGGAACTGTGACTCTGTGGAGATACGAGATACAGAACATAGCGCGAAAATCCTTAACGAGACGACGGTATTACAAAAAATATTTTAGTTGTAAATTGTAAATACGGTAATTTTGTAATTTGTTATTACTTTCGAGCCTAAAGTCTTATCAAAATGCTGATTTTGTGCAAAGTCCCATTATGAATATTGTCACTAAAGATAAGAACTTACGTCCATTTTGAAATTTGTATATTTCTTAGGTCGTTGCATGTCCAATTTGGGAAGAAGGCCAACCAACTTATTTCCCGTATCCATACGATTGTCGGAAATTTATCGAGTGCACCAACGGCGTACCAATTGTTCACGTTTGTGCTCCATTGACCGTATGGGACCAGACATTACTCACCTGTAATCACGAGACCTTCACGCCATGCGTTATTGTGACCACCGAGACTCCGTAAGGTTTAATTTATTTTCTGGTAATTAAAGCCTGCACAAGTAAATATCTAGATCACAAATAGACAATAGATAAGCAAATAATAACTTTTTGCTTGCCGTTTACAAATTAACGCGTTCAACCGTAATTCTGAATTTTCCGTTTAGAATTTTCACATCCATCTTTACTGATTTTACGACTACACCTTCAACCATCACACCAACAACAACCACACCGACAATAACTACATTAACTACAACCACACCAACTACAACCAGACCCACAACAACCACACCGACCACAACCACGCCAACTACAACCATACCAACTACAACCACACCAACTACAACCACACCCACAACAACCACACCGACCACAACCACACTAACTACAACCACACCAACTACAACCACACCAACTACAACCACACCAACTACAACCACACCAACTACAACCACACCCACTACAACCATGCTAACCACAACCACACCAACTATAACCACGCCAACTACAACCACACCGACCACAACCACACCAACTACAACGACACTAACTACAACCGCACCGTCCACAACAAGGCCAACTACAACCACACCCACAACAACCAGGCCAACTACCACAACACCCACAACAACCAGGCCAACTACCACAACACCCACAACAACCAGGCCAACTACAACCACACCCACAACAACCAGGCCAACTAGCACAACACCAACAGCGCCCACGTGTCCAGCAACAACTCAATGGACGACCAATGAACCTATTGAAACTTCTCCGATTCAGATGGGTGTTCCATACACTATAATAAATAAGCAATGCAATACCGTAAGACGTAACTCAAATTCCATTATTTCCAGCCACATGTTATGGATGAATTTAGCATTGTTTTAGATGGCTCTGAGTATCTACAATTCCACTTTGAGCGCGGAAAACAAAATCCATACGGCGCCACACGTGTCAAACTGTTCGGATTTGTCTCAAGTATTCCGATTACAAACAGCTAGCGGTGCGTCAAAATATCTATGATTTTTTCGCCGTCTAACCTCATAAACTGTTTCCGGTTTTGTGTTCAAGATGTTTCCAAACTTGCAACTACTCGCAAGAAATAACTTAAAGAAAGTGGTTTCGTAAACAACATTTCTTGAACAACTAGTTGGAGGTTGGGGACGAGTTCTAAATATCTGTAGACCTGTTTGAACCGGCCTTGGTTTGGATAGTACCAAATGATACAATCCAAACTTTGGGTTTAAAAGTTTGTGGAATTTTGAAGTTAGAGCGAAGTCTGCCATTTTGCCTCCCAAGGATTCCTAAGCCCTATCAATAAAACCTTAAATAAGGTTGCATGGCATTAAATTCGTAGATGATTTACAATTCGTACCAGATTTGAAATTAGTAGCAACATGAACTCTTAACGTGTCAAACGTATTATTTTATTCAAAGTTTTGTAGGACTATATTCAACATAAATCCATTAGCTTGACCAATCCTAATATTGTTTTATTGATCGTTGACAAAGGTTATTACGAGATTTTGTCCGCACTTGGGCTGGGGAGTATACAATGGACTTGGAATATGCATCTGCATTACGATTCTGATCCTACCCCAACCATAGCGGTATGTACAAAACATATAAAAAGTAGTACGCACATGAAGTTCACAAGAAAAATTGAGAACATCGTAGCGTTTCGCTCGTAATGATAATTATAATTTGCATTGTTTCTGTTGTTCTCGACCTTCATGTGATTACTGAAGCACGAAATTTTATACGGCCTAATTTTATGTTTTTTTTATGTGAAATCTTAAATATTTGACTGCAAATGAATAGAGAGCCAAAGCCCAGTATTCTCAGTTTTCTCTTCAACTGGTTGATGCAACTAATTTCTACACAATACGGGTACGAGAGAGTCCACAAGCGAGCTTCTATTACTCGGGGTAACTATAACATTTGTCACTTTGCAATATGAAATATGTGGCAACATTTAATGTTGTATTCTTGAGCAGAATAAGGAACGATATTGGCGTCGACGTCCTAACCATGGTTCCTCCGGATCCTGGTAATCACACGCACTTGTGGGGTTTTGTGCAATGCCCGAAATAACCGAGCGTGGTGCAGAAAATGTACACTTGTGGTGGATATCATTCAGAATATGTATATGCAAATAAATATTAAGTTTCATTTTATTCAGAAATTGAAGAATGCCGTATTTTTTTTTGTTTGAAAAAATATTGTTGAAAAACTATAACCTGCCATTTCTCCTGATTCTGGTTTTGGCACGTTGGGTCACAGAACATTGTTTCTGATAGACAAGCGCATGGGCATGGGAACAAAAAATAGTAGTCGTGTGACACAAGCAACTAATTTTTTTGGCGTTCGGAAGGCGTTGGTCATAATTTCTGGCAGTAGTAGGTACATTAAATGTTCAAAATTATGTACATATCTGTTCCCCACAAATCCTGAACTGTTGGTGAACCATCTAACCCGTCCCGTCCCACCCGTGTGGATCCACTGGTCTTAATTCTGTATCTTAGATGCAAAGTTATAGCCTAATCAATGACAGATGACCTAATTCTGGTGTTACAACGGTTTCTTTATGATGAAGTAAATCTACTGGATATTATGAAATTTTGGTCAGGGTTGAACTCGAAAAGTTTTTCCGTTTAGTTGCAGAGTGCAATGAGAAAAACTGCGTCGATAAAACGTCGTCGACAACTTTAGCTAATGAATTTGTAGCCAAGTTAATATAGGTGAAAGGGTGAGTCATTAAAGCCTTCTTAATATTTAATAATATATTTAATTTGATCAATTAAATTTCAAAATTTCTGTTACAACCTCCTATCAGAAACACTTAGCAGCCGCAATAATCAGGCTACTACCTTCATAAAGATATTCTAAGTCAGTGGAGGGTCTGGTGAGTGAAAATTCATGGATTATTTAAATGTGCTCTTGTATTGAGAATTTCTAAAAATTGTGAATTTTTAATCTGCAGGACATTTTATTTGATGACGTCAACCCATGTGGACTGATCCAAAATCGTTGATTTATCGGAATTTGAAGGGGGAACAGAAGAATAAATATGTAAATATGTATGTATGTAACTCAATAGTTAACATTATAAAGGTTGGATTTTGAAAAATTTAGTAATTTACTAAAAGTAATTTATTTTCTTAGCATGACATTATAATCCGGTATATACAGATATTTCAAATTAAAATTATGAAAAATTCGAAAAAATTGTCGAATTTGTCATAATTTTATATCATCCATTAATCATGGACATCCCTTTCAATTCCGTAATCATCAGATGTATAGGAAGTTAGCCCAGCCCAGCCCAGAATTTAAATTTTTTAATTTTTAAGCTTTCCCGCTGTCGCTGGGGATGATTTGACGACTGAAATGTGTTCCCTAACACTTCTAAATAATTCCCTAAAATTTTCAGCCAAATCGGTGGCGGGAAACTTTTGAAAAATACGAAAATGTCGTTTTTTGCCCCGCACCCTCGATTTTAATGAATTTTCATAATTTGTAAAGTGCGCGCGGGCGTGTTCTGATTGCTGAAATATCTTCAGGGATACTTGGAGAGTATTTCCTGAGAGTTTCAAGAAAATCGTACGTCGGGGACCCCTTCCAAAATTGACAAATGTCTATTTTTATCCTTCCCGTCCCAGTTTTCTCAACTTTAATGAATTTTGACAATTTCAAAAGTGCGTGCGGGCGAGTTCTGATTTCTGAAATATCTTCAGGGATACTTGGCGAGTATTTCCTGAAAGTTTCAAGAAAATCGTACGTCGGGGACCCCTTCCAAAATGGACAAGTTTGCATTTTTCTCCTCTCCGCCCCAGTTTTCTCTTTTTTAATGAATTTTGACAATTTCAAAAGTGTGTGCGGGCGAGTTCTGATTTCTGAAATATCTTCAGGGATACTTGGCGAGTATTTCACGAAAGTTTCAAGAAAATCGTACGTCGGGGACTCCTTCCAAAATTGACAAATGTCTATTTTTATCCCCCCAAACCCTGCTTTCTCTTTTCTAATGAATTTTAACAATTTCAAAAGTGCGTGTGGCCGTGTTCGGATTTCTGAAATATCTTCAGGGATAACTGACGTGTATTTCCTCAAGGTTTCAAAAAAATCGTACGTCATGGACCCCTTCCAAAATCGACGAATGACATTTTTATCCTCTCTGTCCCAGCTTTCTCTTGTTTAATTTATTATGACAAAAACTATGCTAATAATTGTTTCCCATTTTTGAAATAGTTACATCACGGGCAAATAACTTCAGAGCTAAGCCATATTTCTTTAAAAATGATGTTGTTAACGTAATTTATATAAATTTGTTCAAGCTGTAATATATAGTATTTTACGATTTTGGCAGTAATGTTATTTGAACCCTTTACCAACAGCAACGCAAAATTAAACAAGTGTTGCCCGAGTTGGAACTTGACAAGGTTCCCAATGGCAACGGGTCGTCATGTTTAGGCAATCTATTAATGCTCAACTCGGGTTTTTGACTTTACATATGCATGCACGTGTATGAAAAGTACATACGTAGTCCATTTACGTTGTCATGGAGACGGACTGACTTGGCTGTTTACCGTCTTGCTGTTATATTTATGGTAGATTTACATATAAACAGTCATCGTAGTATTATGCATGTTGTAATATTTCACCTACCGAATTGGCATTCTCTGGGTTCTGAGTGGTAAATTTTTTATTACCACGACATTTCTACACGGTAATGTTCGTTATTGTCCTGCGGATAGAGTCATACTGATAGGTAGTGCGGTGAGTAATGATTTATTGGTTCTTTTTTAATAGTGCGTTTAGGTGTGGGGCCTTACATTAGTCATGTGATCTATTGGGAAACTATGACCACTACCCCTTGTGTGTGACCTATGTGGAGGGGCCTAGACCCTTGGTTTCTCCACAGTACTCGGGAAGAGATATAATAACTATTTCTCGCACGTACAAGGATAACCACCCGGATATCCAAGCTCAAGATGGAAACACTTTTTACGTATTTTCCCAGCTTGCACGTTGATAATCACATCGCTGCTATTTTTTATAATTTTGAGTTGCTTGCCTATATGAATTACTTTGCCGTGCTTCAGAAATTATGCCTGCGTTTAACAGAATTAAAATACTTAATTAATTTACAACTTAGATAAATAGTTACATACATGCATAGTTTATTATTATCAATAAAATTTTCTCATTTATTTAATCATTTTGTCGTGTCAATTTTATTTGTTTAATATTCTGAATTTAATACATACACTATAAATACTATATAATATTTAGAATTCTTTCAGAATAACTGTAAATTAATAGAAGAATTTTGGCGAAGGAAACAAAATCACGGCAAGGATGCCTGAGCACTATGTATTTAATTTAGACAAAGCTGTAAAATTGAATACAAATAAAAAGTTTGTGACGATATCAAAAGATCCAATTTAAACTCTAAATTCTATTATTAAGTTTGGAGCATTTTAGAAGAAAATTCTTCAGTGTGACTAACTGAATTTAAAATGTAATTTACAAAATATAAAACTTCATGAAACGACTTTATAATGGCATAAATTAACAATATACATGTTCAATGTGTGAATAAAACGTTGACGTGAATAAAATGTTGTATAAAACTATTATCTGCATATGCACATACTCATATGTAATTTTTTTACGCAAGTAATAATTTTAATCCCACAAGAACGACCAAACCTTGAGAAGGCGACGAAGGAACCGAGGTGTTTTCTTCTTCCCATATTTCGTGCACCTCTTGCACTCGACCTCAACATAAATAGGGTCCTGCAATTGAAGGGGGTCCACTTGAAGGATCCGAAAAATTTCTTCTGAATTTGCATTCAGGCGAGAAAGAAGCTTTGTCCTACTAGGTTCGCCTAATATGGAGAGGTCCGGACGGATTTGATGTACTACAAGGTAAATAATGTCAGGATTGGGATTTGAAATTATTATACAGGATTTAAAAATATCTGTCACATGCGAAATACAGTTAGCCAACTTTTATGATGTATGCAAATTACACGATTTAACTTACAAATCTCGAAGCAGTCCATCGCACTTGATGCATGAAAATATTTTAGGAGATTCCTATGAGCCACATCGTAATATGAAATAAAATGGTACGTTAAAATCCCACATAATTCTTGTGTCTGGTCGTCTAGGTCAGACAGGTTGATCGCAGAATTTTGGAGGGAGAATACAGAATCCATATTTAAAAAAACTGGGACTGAAATCTCCAATGAGTGCGTGAAAAATAATTGCCAGTCGTCAGAAAAATTAAACTGGATGTGGCTACTCCGTAGCTTAACAATCTGTAAACTCAGATATTTTCTTCTTACAACCTACATACATTGTTAGCCGAGTAATCGTAAAATATATTACGTGCCTGCCTGCAAAATGTGCAATTGCATCACATATTATTAAAAATAATTTACCGTGTGCTTGAATCTGAGACATAAAACTGATCTAATTTTAGTGGTAGCATGTATGCATATCAATATAATTTCATAATAATGAAGATGATGATGACACTAATGTAATGGCAGATTGAGAATGTATGGGTAAGTTTGCTTGCAAAACATTCTTAGAAATAATGTTGCCCTTTTGAAAAGTGAATGCACTTTGCATTCTATATTAAGTAACCAACACTCTAAAAAATCCAGTAACAAGGCAATTGCCAGTTGATCATGATGACGTTACCGCCATGGTAATAATTGAGAGTGGTAGTAAATTTGTTACCGCGCAGGTAATGAGTGCACCCAAAAATATTACCAGAGTGGTATAAATTTACTATAACCTGGTAACAAATTTATTGACATGGCAGTAGTCGCATCTGGGTTATGGCAGAGTTTATTAAATTTTACGGGATATAGAACTGAGGCTCTGTTTTAGTTTGAAAATTGTGACATTGCTTTTAAGTGTGCAGGGATGCGTCACACCAGACTATGTGAAATCCTACTTTAATAAATGTATTTAATGTTTGCTATGTTACATACATATGTATGCATATATCTTTATAAACGGATTTTCGTAGGTGAACCAATTTATAAAATAATCGCTACCGGCGTACCCTTGTTAAACAGTCCAGTGAACTACAACCTCCAAGGTAAATCGCCATTAAATAATTACAAATTCTAGTAAATATTTAAAAGAACATTAACCTTTTCAAATATGACTCTAATGAGTGTGCGATTTCGACCTCCATAAAACGGCTTCAAACGGAGATGTGAACAATGGGACGAACGGATTATATTAGAAGGATCCGTGTCATCTCTAAATTAATGAGCAATGCAATTTTTGAGTAACCAACGAATATTGCACTCGGATGCAATAATATGAAACTTCTTATATGTGTATAAACAGCATGCTACATAACTCCATTTAAGCAATTTATGCAAGGAGAGTTCCTATCCAGTCAAAAGTTGGCATCTACATTAGAATCTTCACGTCAAACATGTTTTCGCCAAAGTCCCCAAATTTTAAAATTGATTTTCCGGAATTAATTTCCGAGAAAAAAATAATATTCCCACAAGTTTTCATCCATCGTCGGAAGGAACAAAGTGGATTGAAGAAACATATTCTAAAGTGCCACGTGGAAAAATCAAACGTCGAGAGTGAACTTCAGGTAAGTTGAAATATGAAATAATGAGCCCGGTTATTCCTTCTAAGTTTATCAAATTTTGCCAATAGATATCCCATAAAATTTCAGGGTTTTCGAAAAAAAGTGAAATACTTTGCAAATAATGAGAAACAAAATTTCAACTATTTTTCAAAAACATAAAATAACATTTCGTATTTTTTGTGTTAAAAAATACTTGGAAACATTGCTTTACTCTTTAATATTTCACAAAAACTCGACCAGCCTGAACAAAATGATTTTTATTACATAGATACAAAATAACAAAAATTTAACGATGAATTTAAAAAAAATATGCAGGTCCCTCAGCCAGCTACCGAAGATATACAATCGTATACAGGACACCAACCAGTTAACACTCCAGGAACTTTGAAGTCACCGGAGAGACGTTACAAAGTAACGCAATTAAGAACCCATGCACCTCCATTTCAAGCCCCGAAAATACCAGCAACCACTTTTGAGACGCGTGGTTCCTTCAGTGCTTTCTTATCAACAGAAAGAAAACCTACATATGCAACCAAACAATTGCCACCAGTTTTTGGGTGTGGCTCAGAATCTGCGAAATCAATGGCATTTTGTAAATCCCATAAATCTACAGCGTACGCCGACTGGATTTCGTCCCTAAACTCCCCTTCCAATACATACCAACCTTTGGAAATTGTGGACAAGCCCAAAGAAAAAACTCTCCCCAAGATTCACCGATCCTTTGGCAAAATGTCGAAGGATCGGTATGACGACGACGTTGAGTCGTATGTTGACTACAAGGGCAGGTTCCGACAGCCAGCCGGATTGCCCTTCCCTTTCTTATTCTACGGGGGCTGTCCACCTTCGGGCGCACCAGACGACGCTCCCGAGAGGAGAGGCACAGGACGATCTCGTCCGGGCGGTGAGCCTGCTGCCAGAAACTCCGCAAATGAAACCCCCACTAGCGCTGCACCACAAAATGGGGCAGAAGTGCCCTCTCCTGACCTGGAGCAACCTTCCCCGGCAACAGCAGATGTGCAAGACCCTTCTGTTACAGTAGGTCAACTTCCAGAAGACTGCACATTGTTCTTTCAAGAACGGCAAATGTCAACGAATACGCTCGGAAATTTGAATGGTAAGATTATTTCTGTTCTTTGACCACCAAAAATAGTCGACTTGATTTAGTAATAGAGCAGCAATAATGTAAACCAGAGAAAATTGATTTTGTTAAGATTTGCACATTATGTAGAGGTGATTTTTGTGAGTCCAACGGTATAAATAATTTGGTTCCTCTCCTCCCCTTACCCCAGGGGGAGGGGTCCAAATTTGCTAAAACTGCAAACGGGGACGCGGATTTCCGGATGATGCAAAAAGATATCAAAATGCTAAATACTTTCACCAAAATGTTCCTAATTTTTTTCTACAACCCCAAAGCGCTTTTTGGAAATTAAAAAAATTCAAAAAAATGTCTCGAAATTCCAGTTTACATTATTGTTACTCAGTAAGGTTTCAAGTAAAATCATATTCAACGACGGTATCAAAGTTATTTAATAAACAATGTTGCTAAAAAAGAAGTCTAGATTATTAATCGAAAATTATCGTTAAAAAGCAGCTCGTAATTAAATCTATATCAATTCCCTTATTTTGACCTTGCAAATGTTTTCATTGTAAAGATGACCTTTCATGAAATAATACTATTTTTAATAGTTTTTCTAAACAAAATTAAAATAGAAACTGCAAAAATAGCATTTTGAAGATTTGTAGAGGATTAGATTCTGGGGAAATTTTAATCTTAATATGTATGTATGTATGTCTGCATAATATAATCAGGATATTCGTCATTGGTTTGCATAGTGTCAAACGTTACCAAAATAGGTTGGATTTAAAATTAAGTTGCAAAATTATGCATCCCGAGGGCCAGTATACAGTACCTATTTCTTAAACATAAGAATACGATGCGAACATGCTAATTTGTAATGAATACCCCCAATGTGTCCAGTTATTATTATGTTACACATTTATTCAAAATCCATTGATATTGATGTTTCGTAGGTTAATTGTAGAGTGGTTTAATCGAAGTAAAGTAAATAATAAAGGGTTTTATGAATTTTTACAGTCTATCGAAGAATCCAAAGGGTCACACGATTACTGGACAACATCGTCAACCGTGAAGAATGTATGGAAAACCTTGATGACGCCCGAGTTCTATACGAACATTATCGGGAAAATAAATCCTTCAAAGAATTTACAGACTTGCTGGGACAATTACACCAGCCAGTGTACACTGATTTCGTTCGGTTTTATTTCGGGAGGCGCCCTGATGTACAACCATATTTCGAAAGAGTGTCAGGCGCCCTGAGTCATTACGGGTGCAAATACACTTCAAAAAAGACAGGTTAGATTTTCAGATGATTTTACATTTAAACCCTTCCGGGGATACATTTGATATTGTAAAGTTTTAAATATGCCAGGTCACTTGCCCGGTTGCACGAGACAATATACCACCCCCACCACACATGATTCGAAGATAAGTGTTAGCAATAATACGATACCAGAGCCATCGGAATTTGAGGGAAAGATAAGAACAACGAACAGGTCTCGTAGAACCGAGTCCGGTGTGCGACAGGAATCAAGCCCACTTACACGTATGCTGCCTATATTTCTAATAAACGATAATGATAAAAATACGTAGAATAGTTGCGCTAATTTTGACAGATTATTGTACGTTTGTAATGCTATTATTCTGTCCGTTTTGCTCTTAATTAATAGTTATGAAAGCAACCATAACCGTTGCTGATACTACCTCGGGGTTTGGTTTAGATCGTTTTTTTAGATTGTTATGTATTTTAGGTTTGTTATCTAAATGCATATTAATATAGCACAATTGGTGCCGTGTATGTACAAATCTCGGTAAAAATTACCGCGTGACCTTAGGCATCGGGTCGTTCCCTTGAAAAAATAAGGAGAAATAGTGTTACAGTTTGGTAATTGTATTAAAAGTTTTTTATCTCCTTTGGGATAATAATGATATCGAGAAATTGCAGGTCAGTTTTTAAATTTTGAACTGGTTAATATTTCTGTGAGGTCCAAGTTCCGGAACTGTTTAAGTTTACGAAATTTAACACTTTTTTACTACATAGGTGAGACACAAAATGCATAAAGATGGGTATTTAGATGTACATCAATTAGAAGGGTCACATCGCAATACATACATCTGTAAGTACAATTTTGCAGTGTTTATGAAATCGGTGAAAGGAGCAACCAATTTTAAATGAAAATGCGTAAACCTCAAATCAATGGACAGGTGAAACTTCATTTTATGACCAGTTTTCGTCGTAATAGTTCACAGTGTCAATGGATACCCCTTTACTTCGTATATTTCATGAAAAAGTAAAGGAACGCCTCGGCAATATCGCAAACTTTCGAAGGTATATCTCCTACAGAACAACGGTTGTTAAGTTTACCTAGTAGACGTGCATACTCACAATATTTTGCTCCCCCAAATTAAAATATATTTACCTATATATGTATATATGTACATGAGAATGCTAAATACCGCATGGTAAATTTCGATTCCCAAAATGCGAACTTCCATATTTTAAAATCTCACGCCATACTCGGCAGAGTTTTGCACAACATTATTTCCACATTTGCAGTTAGGTTTACATATCTTTAAAATATACAGATGTGGACCTATGTATGTTAAAAGCTACGTAAAATAAGGCGTTTTTATACTCGTTCTTTTTAGTAGCATAAGCTTGTATTCTCCTGGACAAAATTTTACGTTTCTTTAGACTTAAGTTTAAGAACGAATATAAGATCAGAATATTAAAAGCCGAATTTAATTATCGTGACCTGCTTCAATATGCAAAAAATAAATTTACAAGAGGGTCGGTAGATTAAATAAAAAATTTGCCACATTACTAAAAAGTCGGCAACATTATATTGGGCGTACTCACGACAACTTCTTATTTCGCATCGCAACTCATTTAGCAAACTTGCGAAGATCAAAATTTTCTGTCGTGAGGGAATTCGCAAAATATAACTTCGCAAATCTCTCCAATCTCGCAAATCTACTGAAAAATGTCTATCTTGGTATTGTTTCCATAGATTTCTTTCATTTCCCTTGCTAGCGATGATGAGGATGAATTTGCGAAGTAATTTTGCGAAATAAGAACATGCCCAATTGCTGGATAAATTTGCGAAAAAAAATCCCATGGTTTTCCAGCAAATTTTTTGCGAAATCTCGCATATCTCGCAAAACTTCGCAAGTTATGTTGCTATGCTCACTTTGCGAGATATGCGAGATATGCGAAGGTTGACGAGAGTACGCTCATTAGCTACTGCAACATTATTGGTACAAGATTGACAACATTTTAGGAAAACCAGATTCGTCCTTTTTTATCTTTCCAAATCTAATATTACATCATGTATTTACTTTTTAGTTGAAAACAGTTCTCCGGACTTTTGTGGTAAGAGAATTTTGTAGTACGCGACGTTGCGAAATTGCACATATGTACATACTAAATTCATTTTAATTATAAAGATACAACAATTTCTATGACCCCGGATTCAGAACCCTCTGTGCCATCAAAAAGAAGTTCATCTGCACGCGAGAAAAATAGTGGTAAGGGTAAGATGGATACATATGATTAAAACTAGTATTTGCAAAGAAAGGGTTCAAAAAAATTGATTTTGACAATTTCAGATAACCTTGCCACTGCGGGAAAAAATCACAATTTAAGGAACACAGATATAACGGAATCCGATAATGGTGATAAATAAATTCATAATTTTATTAAGATAAGCTCAAAAAATTAATGGTCTGAAATTACTATACGCAGCAGTACCAACACATAAGCCGACGTCGGATTATGCAAAAGGGAGAGAGCGCGTCGAGCGACGGGGGTACTCACGTCAAAGTTCCAGTAGGACTGAAATGGGCATATCATCAAGTTCAAGTAATATCACACTTGTTAAAAATAATTTTTGACAAAATCTCCCCAAATGGCGATATTCTGGTAGAAATCAATTAAATTTTAATGATTTCCCATAAAAAACTCAATATTTATTTCTACCAGTTTTGACTGGATTGACGAGAAAATGAAAAAAGTTATACTATAGGGTTTCCGACAAAATATCAAACAAACTCTAGTATTTTTAGTGTCACAGTAATGACAGAATTATTCTTCGGGATGTTTTAAATTTTCAATTTTTTCAAAGTTTAGCGAAATTTAATCATATAATTCGGAAGTATTCGGAAGTAGTTCTTCAGAAGGACTTACCTGATTGATTAAAAACTAATTGCCGCGAAATTGTAATCTTAATCTTGTCAGTTTCTGAAATCTTTAAAATTAGCTCAAATTGGAAACAGGTTAAGATTATTGGAGGTATTTTATCCACAGAAAATACATGTATATTAGTTTTCTAAATAAGCAACCAAGTTAAGATTTTTACCCATCAAATTTTCTTCACGATTACCATATTTGATGTTTTGTCTTGATGAATAGGTGAAAGCAGTTGGCCGGAATATTGTGGTAAGGAACTTTTTACACGTAACGTGACATAATAGCATACACTTATTACATAATTGATTCTATTTTTACAGATAAAACAATTTCCATGAGCCCCAATTCTGAACCATCTATGCCATCAAGAAAAACTGCGACTGCAGGCAAAAAGAAAAATTGTGAGCTGGATATAAACATACAAATTAAATTCATATATGTGCATACATAGATATGCAAAGAAGGGTTTATAAAAAAGTGATTTTTCCAGCTAAGTTTATGGATGCATCAAGAGGCCTAAATTTAAAAAGGACAGCTATAAACTCTTCCGATAGTGGTAACAAAATAAATAAATATGTAATTTGGTTACAATAATTACATCAATTTGATGAAATGAAATTATTAGAAGACGAAATAGCGACGCATAAGCCGACGAACTCACTACGCAGGGAGATGACGGGATCATCGTCGGGATCATCATCGGGTAATTTCATAATTGCTAAACGTAACTCAAAATAAAATATCCCTTGGGCACGACATTTATTTCGTAACTAGGACCAGTTAAATTGCCATTACTTCTGATGAAAAATATTCATTTCCAAATTTTGTATTCCGCGACGGAAGACTTACGAAGTCCACTTTTTACCATTGGTCGGTATAGGGAAACTATAAGAGGATAAATATCCAGAAACATAAACTTTCTACTATGGAGTTTCGCACGAAATACCAAAGAAATGATTCTATTTTGAAACATTTTTCTATAGTAATCCTCTGATTTTTAAAACCCAAAATATTTTTAATTTTTACGCGATTTGAAATATTCAAAAGCGTATTTCGCCAGGACTAATTTGATTGATTAAAAAAGGCAATTATTGCAAAATTTTAATTTTATTATCCGTAAAAAAATCTTACCTTTCTCTTTGTCCATTTTCTTCACGATTAACTAATCTGATGTTATGTCTATATTATTAGATGAAAGCGATTCGCTGCATTATTTTGGTAATGAATCTTGTTTGTACCAACGTCGCACAATATCATATATGTGCTTATGACATTAGTTGATTTTATTTAACAGATACAACAAAATCTATGACTTCTGATTCCGAACCATCCACATCATCTAAAAGTAGAACTGCAGGCCAGAAGAATACTGGTGAGTTGTATACATATGTATGTGACTGAGATACATATGCAAATAATGATTTCTAATAAAAATGATTTTTTCCAGATAATTTAATTGGTCCATCAAAAGATCTCAATTTAACAAGCACAGCTATAAACTCTTCGAATGATGGTAACAAATAAATACGTAATTTGATTAAAATCATCACGTCGATTATTATTAATCATAATGAAATGGAATTATTAGAGCCGAAAATAACCAGACATAAGAGAAAGCCAAAGCCTCGAGTCCGCTATTCACCGTCCGACTTTGAACGTGTAAGAGACAATTCACGCAGAACAGAAGTGACCAGATTACCTGCTGCTGGTAATTCCAAACTTGTTCCTAATAATTGTAAAACAATTGGTGTGTTCAACCAGATAAATTTCTCGTTGCATAAAACTGGATGAACTTATTTATTCAATCGGGTAAAGCGTGTCTGTCAAATCCAAATGCCGAGATCCAGATTGCAATCTTTATTGTCAATATGTAAAATTTGTGACAGGAAATACACATGTGCATGTCCTAAATTAAATACTGAATCCTTGATACTTAATCCCAGCACAAATTTGTATGCAATTAATTGGTAATCCCTAATCCTGAGCAAAATTTTCACGCCATTATTTGCCGATTTTTAATGACATACATGTCTAAGGTAAATTTTTAACCTTGCGAATCTATTTTCGAAATCTACATATACATCGAAAATAAGTAAGTTAGCGAGCGACCCTGCACAATTTTTCTATTTCCAAGCGAGCCACGCGATTTTTTGCCAAGAGCAGATTTGCGGCCTGAAATCACCACCGCCGAGAAACATCGAAAATTGATATATACGTTTGCACATAAATAGCCTGAATATGTACCGAGGAAATTGTCCGCAGATACTTTTCAGCTTTGTGTGAAAGGTCTTAAATTTTACAATTACCGGATTATATCGAAATACAAATTTTGACATCATAGCATTAAATCACTTGTACATTCTAGCTGCAAATATTTGCAGGTCCCACAGATGACACTAATTTGCAAATCGGGACGCCCATAGTGAAGCCTTCTCGAGTGAGAAAACCAAAAATAAGGTTCACCCCTTCGGATTATCAAACAAAACCACGTGCAACAACTCAAATTTCAAGCACAAATGACATTTCCCCAGTTCCATCCATTTCTGGTACATTGATTTTATTAAAATTTTAGTATTCTTAACCATTCACCTGCAGACATTTAATTTAAAGTTACTTGTAAACGTTGCAGGAGTTGTTTCAAAGTCAACTACTCGAAGGAAACTTGACTTCGCAGACGTAAAAAAACAAGTTTCGCAAGGCTCCAAAATTCCCCACGCTGATGATTCTGATGATTCGTCCAGTTCCAGTTCATCATCTTCCCAAAAAGGTATGTGGCATTATTCGTTTGGCTAGTAATTCGTTTGGCTAGATATACATATATGTAAGTATATATGCATAAAGCACAATTTTCACACATTTTATAACCACACGCACTTTATAATTAATGAAATGATTATAAACATATGTATGTATGTATGTACATCGGATTAGAATCATACAATAAATGAAATCTCAAAATATACCTGAAAAATGACCGTACCAATCCCTAAAATATGGCCATAAAAATTTTTTGGGCTTGATCGGGAATAAGAATATGTCCTACATACAATTCGATAATCTGACTGACCCATGTGAGAAAATATTACCCACATCCCTTCATTGAATCCTACAACAAATTCTAACTTTTGACCGCTACATATTTTTCCTGAATTATTTTCTAAATTCCTTTTCCCACTTGATTTGAGTATATAGGTAAAGGTTATTTTCTGATGTGGATTTCTAAGCCTGTGATTGGACAATACGTCCCTCTCCAACACAATTAACATTCTTTACAATCGTTGCTTAAGCTATGGTGATTTTTTTTGCCAAAAATATTTTTATGATTCTGTGGGAGAAGTATTTAACTCTCTGGATACCGCGAAAATAAACGTTCATATTCAAATTGTATTTTCTCAGACATTGATATTCCGACATTTCAAAAAGTTTGCCCCATATTCTCATAAATGTTAGCAAATAATTTACATGGTCAAGTGGTTGAGCGCCGAAACTTGGGTAAATTACAATGAGACAGCTACATACATATGTACATATAAATATACGAGGGTGGACCAATGAAGGAAATGGAACTGAGCCAAATTTTGGATGATAAGAAACCTCAACTGCATTTAGAAAGTTTTGATTTTTTAACTTACTAGGCTTACAACATCCGCTACACTAAATTTTCCAAATTACCTCGAAAATGCTCAAAAATTCACGATTCGATTTTGTTATGGGTTTCAAATTTGTTCCCTTGATCCCTATGTTGTAAGCAAATGGTAATCCTAAAATGATAGTTCTATACTGTACGGACTGTATGTGATGGCCTTATTTTGGAACGATTTTCACCTGTGACAGTTCACGCTAAAATTTACTAAAAAGTAATATTATTGAAAAAACCCTCAAATCTTTTCTTTGACCCCACGGCTGAGCACAACCCACGCAGCTACGCCAATCCTCCCACGCGTGGGAGGATTGGCGTAGCTGCGTGGCCACGTAGCTGCGTTATTTATCATAATCAAAATTTATCCTTTCACTGAAATTTATTGCCCGGAACCTAATTTTATCCACTTTAAAATAAACTAACCCAATTGTATACGGTCTCATGCAATTGATACTTTGCATTGCATATTTTAAGTGTGTTTTGATGAATTTATAATACACCTATTTTCTAATATAATTTTGAAAACTGTAATTTGTCGGATTTTAAATTTAGGAAATTTTGCGTTGCCCAGCCCATGTTGGTAACCAAGGAAGTTGAAAAATCACAACTCCTAAATGCGCTGAATGTTTTATATGTATAACTCAAAGAGTTTGATTCTAATCCGTTTCCTTCCTAATTTTTCCAAGAATTTATTAAACTCTTGGAAAAATAAAAAAAATCACTTCCGTCATGGTTGTACATATTACTTCGCTTACAATTGAGATGCACCCACGAATGCCCACAAATTTTGGTTCAAATGTTGTCAATCGATCACAATTTAATTAGTATGAGATTTGCAAATGGCATCTGCCAATTCTCACGTCTGCGGAGATATTTGCATCAAAAGGCATAAAACGAGCCTCAAGGTTCACACATTTTACAATTTTTAAATTTACTTTGCGTTTGCTTCTGTTTGGATGGAAATATCTCTGCCCAACCTGTGTATTGACAGATAGTGCTTTTTATTAATTTATTAAGCTTGTAATCAATTGACACCAGTTTGTTACGAATCTGTGGGCATACGTTGGGAACCTCTATTGTTAGTTACTTAGTATTAATTAATTTTAAAGCTAAAAACCCGTATTATATTCCAGTACATATAATGAAACAGCTAAAACAACCTAGGTGTATTTCATTTAGATTATAGAACCAGAACGTGGGCTTCCTAGTACAGAATGGAGAACTGCACAAAAACAACGGCTTCCTAATAGAGGAAGCAGTTCATCTTCACCAGATTTATCCTCACCGATAAGTGCATCATCAAGTGAAGACGAATCGCAGCCTAGGCTGGCCGCGGAGGAACTGTGTGATTTAAAGGGGATTGATCCAGAAATCCAAAATATCAATTGCCCCCACATATTTCCCTCAAGGTTAGAAGGGAACAATGGTTGCATTACTATGACATCACACGGAGAGTACCTATTGACGATTATGCGCAGCTAATCAGCGACAAATGAAAAAGCAGCACGACATTCCGTGTTCATTTACCTCTCGCGGAAAGACGCCAATCAAGCCGGGTAATAAGAAAATTTGTGCATCATTTCGAGGGTACTGTGGTAGCAGTAGGTCTCACCAAGAAGAGCCGAATCTTTGCAAGGCTACATTTAAGTGCCATGTCAGAAATTTCTCAGCAGCAGACCAAGACGTCATCATTGATATCGCAATCGGAGGAGAATTTCATCTCTACCAGAGAAAAACCACCGCCCGCCAGTGCCGTGGCGAAACTAGAAATGCCCTTCAAAACAAACTAGAAACCCAAACAGCGCTCAAATATCACACCTCCCAATTTTCAAGCCTACCAGATTTGTCATTTCTACACCAGAATTTGCCAACCAAGAGCATT